TTTGTGGGAGGTTGAAAGGAGACCTTTCAACCCTTCAATTTTCTGCATCATTTCAAGAAGTGACCCTTTTCACTTTCAAATATGTCACAGATGACAGGAAAGGTTCTCCCCTCATGACTGGGGATTGTTCATTTCCACCTTTGTTACGATCTACAAATAACTAGCCAATTACCAAAAACCTGAACTTGTTACTTGGTAGAGGGTAACAAAATGGTCACTGACAAGGGGAGTCCGAACCGAACAAACCCACACACTTTCTATTTTGTCCGATTTTAATGTTGATAAAACCAATCAGATGACCCACCAAATGAACGATTATTACTAAGGTTGCATTATATACCCTGACCTTAACCACATCCAGCAATTAATTCAGGTTGTTTGACAGCTGTTATCAATTTTATGGAATCATACCAGATAGAAAGAGGTAATAAATTTGTCGAAACGTTTGATTTCTGACAATTAACATAAACAACACCCAGACGCAAATTGAACTTAGACAGGATTGCATCAGAACTTTCCCTGGTAGTTTTCCTCCCAGAACGGGTATAAAAAGGGGTCACACCTGCGCCTCAGGGTGATCACCGTAGGGAAGCCTCCAGGCCGGTAATGATTTGGACCCCTGCTCCACTCTCCTTAAGGAAGACTGCTCAGAACTTAATCCGCCACAGCATAAGAGGTAATTACTTTGAGAAAATAAACTCTCTCTCTCGGTTATAAGCTAGATTAAGGTTAATTTAACTTAAAGAATTTTGGGACCAATAAAGATCCAGAACTTAGATGGTCTATTGGTAAGAGTGAAGTAATCATTGTTGCAACCTAGAGATTTTTTTTAACTATTTCCATCTATTGTATGTATTTGCTTTTGTACTTGCTTTGTATAATTTTTGTTGTTTATTAAATATGTGTCATCCTTGAGTATAGCCGACACCTTATCACAACCTCGCTAACCCTCCCACTCGTTTACAACATAGGCCATCCCCTGACAAAGAAACCGATAAGAAGGGACGAGCTCACCGCTCTACACCCCCATGGTTCACATAACCATTAACTAATTCATTAGCATGTTTTCGTAGAATTCCGATATTTAAAAGTTATTGATATACTTAACATTATTTTGATATTAACCCATTATCATATGCACTTATTTTTTAACAAATGTACATGCATAAGGCAGCAATTCCCCACTGATTTTTCAGATATTTACACTGCAAATAATTGCTGTTTCTCAAATTTGATAATTTTGAAAAATCCTGTAATATGTCTTCTCTACACATGAAAAATTTCAATGCCATATGTGTTTACTTTATTGAGATATTGTTCTGCATTTGAGGACATTGCAAGGGACATTGTTCATGACAATGAGCAAATGATTTTTCTGTAATTTTTGGGCATGAAATAAAGCTGCAAAATACAGTAGAGTGTCGATTTTCCGAAAGTCAATCATCCGAAAGCATTCCAGTCGGCAAATTTAAATTTTCGCCAGTGCTGTGGCGCTTCAATCTTTGTCTATGTCTTGGGCTACTCAAATATTTTACGTTTTTGATACTAAATTAACATCTGAAGNAGATAGCAAATATCTCATAAAATATTTATTCTGTGAAAAGCAATAATCATGGAAATATTAATTTCTATTTTCTATGAGATCTTTTATTTATATTTCCTATGTTTTAGTTTTTAATTTATAGTTAATCTCATGCAAAAATATAGACATGACTTCTTAAGAAAAACAAAAATTTATTTTTTGTTACAAAAAAGAATCAAAAATTTTTAACTTTTGATAGCTAGCAGAAATTGTTTCACTAGATAGCAAAACCATGTTTTTCTGTTACATATTAAAAATTTAGGTAATGTAAAAATAAAATAAAAAATAACAAGTTAACAAATGTTTTAGAATAATGTAAAATAAAGCTGAGCTTTATTTCATATTATTTTTAATAATCAAACATAACTAAAATAAATAACAATTTTAAATAATGCTCAATTTGTTAAAAATTGTAAAATATTCAAATTTAAGATGTAAGCTGAAGTTGTCATGAATCAGGTTGAAAACATTTCTTATTTCTCAGTTAAAAGTTTTGGCTTGCTGAAATAAGTAGTTTGGTATTGATAGGTATTAGAATTTTGCTAAGTTACTGTTAACAATCATAAAGTTATTTTTGTTTTTATTTATTTACTTCCTGACACAGTATAATTATTGTTTTGAGAGATTTCTGAATATATGTACTGTACAAACAAATTAAAAAACCCATATATGAGACATTAGTTACATAAATTATTTTGTAAATTTTTGCCATGTCTGGAAAAGTTGAAATTTTTCATTGCTGTAAGAAATGTTTCTAAATTATTTAAATATAATATATGTGGAATATCTTTGATCTGGAAGACATTCTCTAACATCCAGGGTTAAACAGCGGCTGAAACATGAGAGAACAGAGCTTTACCAGAGTGCCTTTATAAGTCAAAACAGTTTAAAAAATTTATGTCTTGTGAGAATGAACATGTGGTACTATTTTATTTAAAAAATTATGAATGCAAGATCTGTACAGAAAATTTGTGAACTTTGCAAATAGAAATTGTTTGCATTTACCTAGAAGCTAGTCAGCCTTTGAAGTAGTCCCCTCCTGAGTTGATGTACCAAATTCAACATATCTGCCATGAAAAGAATGCTATCTGAAATGCTTTCTTGGAGATGATGCAAAAGTCTGCTAGTGAATTTTCCTTAAGGCATCAATGGATTCAAAATGGCAACATTTGAGAGCAGAAAAATTTTTAATTTTTAATTTGGGGGAAAAAAAAAGAAGCATACTGAGGTTTAGTCTGGTGAATTTGGAGTTTGGAGAACAAGTGGCATCAAGTTCTTGTCAAAAAACTCTGTTATCAGCAGTGTTGTATAAACAAGAGCATCGTCATGATGCTGTTTTCTCCAAGCAGTTGGTCTTTTCTTCACAAAGACGTTTCATCACCACAAGATGGTATTCCTTATTTAATGTCTTCACTTCTAGAAGAAAATTCCTGTTGAATGACACCATCAGAATGAAACAAAACAGTGAGCAAGACCTCCACATTTGACCAAACTTATCACATCTTTTTGGGTTGTGATAAAGATTTTCCCACCCACTGTGATGACTGACACTTTGTTTCCATGTTATAACCATAGACCCATGTCTCATATCCAGTGATAATGTTTTTCATAAAATTTTTATCAAACCTAGCCTGTCCCAGTACTCTTCACTCAATTGCACTCACAGAAAGAAAATTGCAAAATGCAATCAACACATGTTTACACAAATGAATGTAACATAACAACAAATGAAGATAGAACAAACTGATTTCAGCAGATAGTAATAAGAACGTGCTGGTAGATGCTGTGCAAGCTGCGTTTGAATCCAATTCTTGGTTGGTGTGTAATTTTAAAAATTTGTGAACTTTCTAGACATATCTCCAATGTTGTATTGGGAGATGACTTTTCAATGCAAAAGTTGGAAACTTTGTTAGTGACTCTGATAGATTAAATAATTATTTATTTATATGAAAAACCAGAGACTCTGTGGCAAATACAAGAGGTAAACTATTTTCTTCACTTTGTGCAGATTTTTCTATATCTGTTTTAAAAGGCTTTACACTCCTCAAAAGTGAAACTATGTAACACTATGAAGGAATGCATTTAGCCATATGCAGGTTGCAGGACTGGTAAAAATGACAGAGATATGCAAATGATTAAGATTGCATATGCAACAGGTTCCCTGTTTCAAGCTATAAACACCAGCAGCTGGCTTGAGTCGTAAATGCTATCAGTGACAGTTTACAGCAGCTGAACTTTCAAAGAAGTGCAGAAAATGCATCAGAGATGACAGCAAGCTGAGTACCACCAGTTAATGCCTGGAAAATGAGACCATATCTTGGTGCTGTGCAACCTTGGTTTGTCAATGCACACAGTTGTCACACATGTTGGGCACAAGGTGAGTACCATTCAGCAATATGTGACAGGATGGATGCAAGAACATCTACAAACATGCTGGAGAGTGGATTGCACCAGTGCACAATAAAGTGCACAGACTGGCAGATTCACCAAATGGTCCATTGGGACCCATTCACCACAGCACATGACATCCAAAGCCACCTGTTACTGTCAACAAGTGCATCTTATTTAAATATGGTATTTATTAACAAAGATTTACAAAAACAATAAAAAGATAACCATGTTCAAAAGAAATCAAAAATATTCTGAGGGAGTATTTCAATCTTTGTATGGAATTAATCAAATAAAAGATAAAACTATTTTTATTGTTAATTTTTTATTCATTTAATTTCTTATTAATTCACTTTAACTTTTATTATAAATTTGAAGTTATAATAATAATTCTAGACTAAATATCTCTGCAGAAAGTTAATTCTGTTTTTGATTTTTGAGCTCTAATGGTGCAAACCTGAGTTGTTGTCAGACACAAATAAACTTACAAGTTATTATTATATAGTGTATATTTATTGCCTATTACACTACTACATTTAACATTTAATTACTATATCTTATTATCAGTGAGTTCAACCAACTGTTTAAACCTAAAAATAATTTTAATATACCATGTTAAATTGCATAAGTCAAAAAAATAAATAAATCATGGAATGACTGTATTTTATAATTCTGAATTTTAAACTTTCATTATGCTACTTTAAAATTGTTTAATTTCTTTCTTGGATTTAAGCATACTATTATTTAATTATTGATGTAATTTGTAAGAATATTAATTTCATTGCTCATGTATTAAGAAAGTAAATAAATGATGATGCAAATTTGTGAAAATTAAATAAAGATAAACTTTTCATCAATAAAAATTTATCCCTGTAAAGTATAGACTGCTATGGGTTATATGCAGGAAATTATAGTAAATAAATAATAAATGGACATTTTCTAAATATTTAAAAATATATTTCTTGAATGTAAAATAATCATAATAGATGTGCAAAATACACATTACTTTTCCATATGAAAAAAATCTTACATCTCTTTGTCTTTCTCGTGAATGAAGTATTTTCCCTCTAAGCCATTGTGATCGAGCAGCAACAAATAAACTATTAAACTCTCTTAATCACTGTAATAATGTTTAAATGCTTAAATATAAAAAAAAATCTCATAAAATCAGTTTAAGACATTATATCATCCACCTTTCTTTTAAAATAATCATGTTATAAATATAATAATTAAGATTTAACTAATAAGTAATGAATGTTAATTAAATAATCAAATAAAGAAAGATGTACTGTATTACAAAATAAGTGATGATATTCACAAGAAATGAAAATCTGATTTATGGAGTTAAGTAGGACAGTTTTTTTACCTCCATTTACATACAATGTTTTATACAGTATATAAATATATTGAGATAATTTATGAAATAAATTCAGTAACTAATATTAATTTTTTTTGTTTTCATTTATATTTGTAGACATAAATCAATGTCAAGAATTTTTAAGTGATTTGATACAATTATTAGATTTTTTAAATTATTTTTCATCACATTTTAGCAGAGTTAACATAGTATTAGATTTTTAAAAAAATATTTATTTTAAAATATCATTTACTTTTATAAAATCAAGTTTTAATCCAGATGCATTCTGCAGAGCCACTAATACATTTCTATGATTAATTGCAGCTTCAAGATATTGAACACAGAGTTGTTCCAATCTCTTCATATGAAACTAAAATAAAAAATATATATCTGCATTAATATGTATAAAATGACTCAATTTTATTGGATTATTCCGTAACTTACTTGAACAGCTAATCTATAAACATCCATCATAAGAAGAACAATTCTATTGCTCAGCATATCTTTTCCTAAATTAAGGAAATTCATTATTTTATATATATTTTAAATAAATGTAAATAAATTAAAATCATAAATATACCAGTAAATTTTACAAAACGTTAATCACTGAATGTCAATCTAAATATTAATATATAAAATTACTTGTCCTGACTGACTGAGTCACTGATTCATCATTGCCCAGAGCAAACCGCTAAACCTAAAGAGGTGAAATTTGGTACATAGTTAGTGCACGTTTTCATGATGTACTCTAAGAGGGATTTTTCGAAATTCCCTGCAGGGGGGAGAGGGAGAGCATTAAGGCTTAACTGGAAGAATGGCTTCTACTGTACTTTTTAGATGTGATTTTTTGTTTTCAACTACATTTAGTCTTCATTGAGTACTTAGGTGTATTAAATTGATAACATTTCAGACATTGTTATAAATATTTTTATGTATTCCGATTTTTTAACCAAATGTTTGAACCATTTTAAATTCGAATTTGTTATTGCATATTGGTTCGATTATAGAATGATTGTAAACATTCCAGAAAATTGATCAAATTGAAAACAGTTCATTTGATTCTCAGCGGTAGGTGTTATATAGCAATTACTATGGTTGTTGAAATACTGAATATAAATGAGGTTTGCTTGCAAAACCCCCGCGGGCAAAGTCACAGGTAATAGCTAATACATTATAAGAACATAAAAATATCTCAATTTTTACTTTTCTAAACAAACAATATTTTTCAAACTAATTAATAGAAAATTTTACAATGAATGCATTCATTTTATTTTTAAATTATTAATTATTACAGAAACAGATTAGAAAAAGTTTGTTTCTTTCAGATGATACTGTATTCATGTCAGGATACCTAATGCGTAAAGATGGAATTATTTTTGTTTACAATAGCCGAAATAAATTTAATTTACAAATAGAATCTGTAAGTGTATTGTTTTTTGTCAATCATCTTTTTTTTTTTTACTGATAATTCTATGTTTATCTTTATGTGAGTCTTAGATATTTTATCACTTTTTGTTCTATTTAATAGTTGCCTTTTATATTAATTAATATAAACTGATTACCATTCTTCATAATCTCTATTTGTATTATAATTCAATGACAACACAATATTCTCTGATATGACTAAATAAAGAGCTTAGTATGGCTGGGAAGCATCTTTAACATCATGCATAGTATTTTTAAAAAACTTATTAATTCATCAAGTATTTTGCAATCTGAGAAACACTTATTTCCATGTATGTTGGTTATTTTTATTACTACATATTTGCCTATAAACTTAATTAAAAATACAGTGTAACCCAGGGCGAGCAGCGTGACAGATGCTTAACGTTTCGCTTGAAATGTTTTACAGATATTAATGTATATAAACGTAATGGTAGTATCCTGTGCAGCATTTAATTGCTCAAATACATTCGTCAAAGGTAGTGGTGTCACATTTCATAGATAGTTGAAAAGCAAACAACATTATTATCATGTAGGAGAAGTGTGTTAGAAGATAATTCCAGAAATGATAATGAAATTTCGAAATTTTACATCCAAAATGATAACATAAGATTGTCGGAACATCAGTATTGCCAAAATATGAATTCGTATAAAAGGAGAAAACAGGTTAAGGAAAGAAATTCATTCAATAATCAAAGGAAAAGAACAAAACAGGAAGGAAAAACTGTCAGGACTCTATCAGCTTTGTTGTTGGAACTTAAAGAAAAGAATTTATTGCGTTATAAAGTATATTCCATACTTTCTGAGAGCTTCTCAGATTCAACTGTAGAAATATTGAACTGTATACAACATGAAAAAAATTTGGATTCTTACAGTGAAGTGAAAAGATTTCTTCAAAGTGTATATTATTATTCACCAAATAGCTATGAATATTTAAGAAATTTATATTGTTTGCCACAACTTTCAACCATAAGATCATGGTTTGCTTCTACATCAGGTAAGCCAGGATTTTCCAAAGAAATCTTGGATTCCATTGCAGCAAAAACAAAAAATATCAATCAAAATATTTATGCCGTATTAATGTTTGATGAAATACAAATAAAGAAGAAAGTGGATTGGGATCACAATCAATTTGTAGGACATGTAGATTTGGGTGAAAATATTGAAACGGGAGATTGTACTGAAGCAAAAGAAGTGATTATTTTTGTAATTGTAGGAATTAATGTAGATTGGAAAATTCCAATAGCATACTTCTTTATCGATAGATTAACTATTGAGGAAAAATGCAACTTAATAAACTTGTGTTTAATTTTAATGCATAACATAGAAGTTAATATTGTTGGAATCACTTGCAATTGTCTGAAAGTAAATTTTAATTTAGCTGAAAGCTTAGGAGCAAAACTTAGTATTAATAGTATGTTACCTTGGTTTCCTCATCCAACAAGTAAACAAGATGTGTGCATCTTTTTTGATTCTTGTCATTTGTTAAAACTATTAAGAAATGTTTTTGCAGAAAGTAGAATATTAATTGATTATGAAGGCAAAGAAATCAAATGGGAGTTAATTGAAAAATTACAGATTTTATTGTCTAAAAAGTTAATCAAAAACTACAAACATTTTTATTATAAAAATTGTGAGTTGGCTGTTCAAGCATTGAGTTCTTCTGTAGCAGACATGCTTTTATCTTTAGAGGAGGATGTGCTCCATGAAGAATTTAGAGAAGTGGTTTCAACTACAGATTTCATCTATCTGATAGAAGGCTTAATTGATATTTGTAATTCTAAAAATATTCTTAGTCAACACTTAAAATCACCTTTACAAATTTCTAATAAACACATCTGGAAGCCATTTTTGTCGAAAGTGATAGCATATTTACTGGATTTAAGGAATTCAAAAAGAAAATTAATCCGTGATACAAATAAAAAAGTACCCATAGTTGGGTTCATTTCTTTCATAGTTTCGCTCGAACGTATCTTTGATAATTTAATCGCTACAAAAGAAATGAGGTATTTATTAACATACAAATTTAGTCTCAATCATTTACATGTGTGTCTTCATAGAATTTACAAGTGTATTAACTCATATGGTATTCTTTCTGCACTTGAATTCAAAAAAGCATTTGCTTCTTATATACAAGAGGAGTTGAAGCATCTATCAGATCACACTACTGCTCTTAAAACTATAGTTTTAGAAAGAACAGAAACTTCAATAAATGACGAAAGTGTATATATACTCGACCCTGTTATCTTTTCAGAGTATAGAAAATTGGATATTGATTATCCNGTTAAACTATTTTTTCGTACATAAATCGGTTATCTGAAATATCAGTTATACGAACAACCCCAGTCCCCAATTGATTCGGAAAATCGACGCTCTACTGTATTTAAATTGTTGAAGATCATAGTTGCCCAGAATATCTTACATGGCAATCTTCAAATCACTATTACCTTGAACACTTTTGTTCAAGGTAATAGTGATTTGAAGATTGCCATGTTGTTATATCATGCATAGCTGACAAATATCCATGATATCATGCCTAATTCTTGAAGCACTCATGACAGACTTCCACAATGTCATTTTTGATAACATCAGGTCTCTACAAATGACATCTAAGCATAAAATCACTGCCTTAGGCATGTGATTGCATGACAATAAAGAAAAATTGTATGAAATTGCAAGTATAAAGCAGCAATTTTTTGAGATTATGTGAGAAGCAGTAAAATTTTTTCTGACAAGAATTTTTAAGATGGATAACATGTACATGAGAATATCATGAAAGCACAGCTAATTTCAAGCAAAGTTAATTTGGTAAAACATGCCCACAAAAAACTAGTAGGTGTGCTACTACATTTGATCACAGGTTAAAATTGTATATTGCTGTTAAAACTGCAATTGCTACATAAATTGACTAGTAAACAAACAAATGAATTTAATTACATATTTTTAATTAATTAGATTTTTTTAGACAAATAGTTTTATTGTAAACAAACTCATTATTAGAAAGAACTTTATATAAATAATCAATAAAAGTATCTGGATATCAATAACTAATGGTGATTTCAGAACAAGCACTAACCTTTTACTTAATTAAAGTTCAAAAATTTTTCATTGTATGACTTTCAACAGGAGAGATTTCTAAATTTAAATTTATATTATGTGTATATATAGCCTATCTATATATTTATATATATATAGGCTATATATAAGATTAAACATTGCCGGACCTAAATAAAGAAAATGGCTTTAAATTTAAAATTTCAAGTGTTTGAATACACCTAAAGAGTCTGTGAAACATTGTTTTTATAAAGTGTTTTTTACAGATTTTACGTGAAAAAACAACCATAGAAAGTCTAAACAACTCTATTGTTTCATCATAATAACTTCTTATTGTCATATCATAACTAATTACAAAATAAAATTTCTTAATAAGAAAAATCAATCAGAGAACATAAGAAAAAAATTGATANAAAGTTAATCAAAAACTACAAACATTTTTATTATAAAAATTGCGAGTTGGCTGTTCAAGCATTGAGTTCTTCCGTAGCAGACATGCTTTTATCTTTAGAGGAGGATGTGCTCCATGAAGAATTTAGAGAAGTGGTTTCAACTACAGATTTCATCTATCTGATAGAAGGCTTAATTGATATTTGTAATTCTAAAAATATTCTTAGTCAACACTTAAAATCACCTTTACAAATGTCTAATAAACACATCTGGAAGCCATTTTTGTCGAAAGTGATAGCATATTTACTGGATTTAAGGAATTCAAAAAGAAAATTAATCCGTGATACAAATAAAAAAGTACCCATAGTTGGGTTCATTTCTTTCATAGTTTCGCTCGAACGTATCTTTGATAATTTAATCGCTACGAAAGAAATGAGGTATTTATTAACATACAAATTTAGTCTCAATCATTTACATGTGTGTCTTCATAGAATTTACAAGTGTATTAACTCATATGGTATTCTTTCTGCACTTGAATTCAAAAAAGCATTTGCTTCTTATATACAAGAGGAGTTGAAGCATCTATCAGATCACACTACTGCTCTTAAAACTATAGTTTTAGAAAGAACAGAAACTTCAATAAATGACGAAAGTGTATATATACTCGACCCTGTTATCTTTTCAGAGTATAGAAAATTGGATATTGATTATCCGAATAGGAAAATAAACAGGCCATATTTACAAAATATACAAAGTTCATGCGAATATGTCGATAGAATATGTATAGATGCTTTAGTGAAGGATTTGTGCGATTTAATTGTATGCCCCGACTGTTGCTCTTCTGTTCGTGGCAAAAATTGCATTCTAAATAACTACTCTATAAAGAAGACTCATAAATTATATCCTTCTTTAGATGTTTTAAAGATTTGTAAACAAACTAAAAAAGTTATAAAAGAATTATTAGGAAACAAAAGAAGTATTCTTCCTAAGAGTTATCAAGTTATTGAAACTCAAGTTTTCAACCGATTATCAATCGAAGAACTCTTTAATGATCTATCGATGCATGTTATTGATAATACTTTTCCAGAGAATCATATTTATATCTTAATTAAAACTATTATTAGACAATATATCAAAATAAGTTGTGTGTGTAAAGAACTACATCATCAAAGTCTTTTGATCTGTCAATAAGATTAATGCTATAAATCAAAAATAATTGGAATATATGTATTATACATAGCCATAAAACTGTGATAAAATTAATATATTATGTCAGTGTAACCCAGGGGTGGCCAACAGTTTTTGCCCCGGGTTGAATTGGAAAGAAAACTTTTTTCATGGGCCAAACCAGAGGCTGCCCTACGAAGATTGAGGTGGTGTGAGATCTCATTGTGGTGTCATCCTGTAGAGACTGAATTGTAGATAGAGATTACAGATACGTTTTTCACATTATCATGCTTTATCAACACTCTATGCTGTACTTACAAGATTTGTAATGGAGGATTAACTCTAAACACACAGTGAGTTGTTGACCTTTTTTAAGACATCAGAATTTTTCATTGAGCTATTCGAACTTCAATACCTAATATTGAAAGATTGATTACGGGCCACATAAATTCATTAGACGGGTCATTATGTTGGCCATGCCTGGTGTAACCTCTGAATAGTGGACACTGTCAGGATTGAGAAGTTTGTCTACTATTTACAGGTGTTCACTATTCAGAGCAGACAGTCATATTGTATTTTAACCTGGTCATTATAAAATGAAGAATACGATGGATTGTAAAAACATCAGATTTGTGTTAAGAACGTGAAAATACCAAAAAGTATATGTAATAAATAATTAATATANTTTTACTGTCTTTTTAATTAACACAAGAAATATACTACAATGGTTTGCTTTTGTCTTTTATATAAACAATTTCACTAATTTCATATTTTTTTTGAGAATTATAACTTAAAGATTAAGCAATATATCTTTTATATTTAGTTATCAATATGAAGGATATTAATCAATATAAAAGTTAATGAGAACAACAGAAAAATAAATTTCAATTTCTTAGTAAATTTTAAAAAGTATACTTTTTTATGTGTAATTTATTGATGTATAGACTTTTTATCTGTATTATGCTAGTCATGATTAATCATTATTTCATATAACTTATAAAGAGATTGATTTATCTATAATAATGGTCTGCTTACAATTATTACTAATAAAATTACTTTAGACTCTTGATTATCCAGAATGGATAGGAAAAATATCATTCCAGTTAACCTGGTACTGTTTAAATCATGTATGCAGTAAAATGAACTGGTTTTTAAAAGAAACACAAAGAGAAACAGATACAACTACTTCGCATAGTTACTCATAATAAACTGAACACACTACAGAAGTACATAACCCTTTCCCTCTTCCTGGTCAACAGCCTGCAAAGCAGATAAGTCAAAGTGATTTAGTGACAACAGTTAATGTGATCCTAGATAATCAGAAGTCTATAGTATAAAAAAGTCAATATCTAAGTAAATTATATATATATTTATAATTTTTTATTTTTATGGCTTAGCATAGTTTGTATATAACTGAAGTCATTTATCTAACTTTATAATATACAGTATTTATAAAAATGAAAATGAATAATAAATAATTCGTATTTATTTATTTATTAAAGATATTTACGTTTTATCTTTAAAGTTGAACTGAAAAAGACTGTTTGTTATTTTAGCACCACTCTGGCCAGAGAAAACAAACATACTATCTCTTGCAACTGCAACTGGAAAATTGCAGCATGTTGGAGGACAATCACCTTTTTGAGGAATCTAAAACAAAAAATAATAAAATATAACTATAATTTTTTTTTGTATTTATTTAAAAATTAAAAATTTTAAAAATTTTGCATACATATATTATATATTCACATTAATTTGATTTTATTATAAACTACTGATTTGTTGAAATATTCTAATGAATGAAACTGAATATAAATGATTACCTAAAAAAAAATCTTTGTTTTCCACCTTATACACTGTTGTGAAGAGAAAAATAATCAGAATATTGCTTCCTCATGCTGCTAATGTGGAATTTAAATTTCCTTATCAATTTTTTAAAACATTTTATATTTTTCCAGGTTATATACCAAAATTTCTGAATATTTCAAAGATATCAAAAAGGTCAAATCAGCATTTTCTAATTAAATGATATAATAATTGTTTAGACTAGAAACATGTGACAGCTTTGCAATAAATTTGGAAAAGATTTGAAAGAGTTCATTGATACTGAAGGAGTTGAAACAGGTCTGAGAAAGGTATCTAAAATATCAGACTTTGTAGTTCCTGCAATTAAAGTTGAAAAGTCAAGAAACTGTTATAAGTGATACATGGATGAAGCTGCAAACAATAAAGCAAGCAAGTAGTTTAAGAGAACTTTACTTGTAGAAAGCTGGATGGTTATGTAAATGGTAGGCATCAAACATGTAATATCTGGCTAGAGGTAGAATTTAGATCCTCTACATGCAGATTCTGTACAATTTATGGATAGGTTGAACTGTTTTGCATACCAGGAAGTTCTAGATATTGAAGTTACTTGTAAGTTATTGCTTACTATTAATCTAGCTTGTCAAAAGATCAGGGAGTGTTTTTTTAGCTGTGTCATAATTTCATCAAAATGTCACCTTAAAGGTGTTTTAAATTTTAAAAAGTTTAAATTAGACTCATTACTAGTAAAACTCTCATCAATTAATGTAATCTAATTTTTTGTGATTTTTATGTTTATATAAAATGATAAATAGTTGTTAATATTGCCATAATTTATTCTGTAGTTTAATGAAATTGTATAATAAGGACTGAATAGAGATAAATAGCCTAAAATTCATTTCCTTTTTATAAAATAAATTCTACATTACCCATCAAAAGTGTTCATGTAAGATAAGTTCTTCATAGCAATTATACTTACTTCCAAAGAACTAAATAAGGAGAACAAGAAGCAATTGAGTACTAAAGTATGTATGTCTGACGAAAAATTACTTATCCAATTTAATTACTATATGTTTCATTTGGGTATACTGTTAGTATCAATGTTAAAATGAATATTAATTATATCGTTAGTACAATTATTATTCTTATTAATATTAATAGCATTTTTATGTTTTCACAATATTTATGCAAAGTTATATGTGTTCACAAAATTTTAATAAATTTACAATATATGTTTTAAAAATAAGGTATAAAAATTCATAATTTTTAATAATTACACACACCTCTTCCCAAATTCTATTATCCCCAAGTAATGATGTAGTCCACATGTCATTCAATCGAGCATTTCCATCATATCCAGCAAATATCCATAATTTACCATTATAGACTGCTGCTCCATGTGCAGATCTAGGTACAGGTTTTCTAAAAATATATATATATCATAAATTAGTAATATAAAAAATTTCAGTATAAGATAAAAATATTATTGGCTTTCAAGTAAGTTAAATATTCTAAAAATTATTTATTTGTTGATTGCTAAAAATTATAAGTAAAAAAGAGTAAACTTAAATTTTTACATCAATCCAAAATATCAGGTTATTTCAACTTGGATTTAAAAAAAGTACCAGCTAATAATCCATTAAATTTTAAAAATGTATTAAAGATGATTGTTGTTTCTTTGATTATACACAGGATCTCTTTTAAATGATGTTAAAACTTAATCCTTTTCTTCATAAATTTAAGAATTTTGCTGTCAACATTCCATTTCACAAGTTCAACAATAATGTGTTTAAAAATTTCCTTGAGAAATATACAAATGAAAAAGTATCAGATAAAATCACCAATGCAATCAAACCAAACAGGAAAATATTTGTGGTTATCCTGTTGACAAAACCACAGATGCACTTGGAACATTCTTAATATAATAGTTAGCATGCATATGACAGTGCCTTTGAAAGTGCAGAAACAGCAACTGAAAGCACATATTTGCTACATACTATGTTCTTAGAAGCAACTAACCATTCAAACATTGCAAAATGCATAAATAATAATACTTAACAAATTTTGTGACCGAATGGAATGCGTTACAATAGTTCCTTTTTGTGTTTAATGCTGCTAGCTAAATGCTCAAAGCAGCCAATGTGCCAAAAGTGTTTTATACCAAAATGATCCGTTTAACTTTCTTAACACATGCAAGACAACAAAAAACACAGCTTTAAAAATCCAACAATGAAATTTAGTAAATAATAACATTTTCAATCAGTTTAACTGATCTTCAGTTACAGTTAAGATCAGTTAAATTGATCAAAAACGTTATTATTTAGTAATTTCATTGCTGGATTTTTAAAGATGTGTTTTTTGTTGTCATATATATATCCAGTTGATACAAAATATATAGATTAACAGATGAATTTAGTAAAATTTGTGAAACTGTTCACATAATGTTTCCTGGTGCCAATAAATTGATTCCAGCTATAAAAAAAACGTTTGTAAAGACTCNTAAATTTTCATCTATAAGTACGTATTTTCTAATATCAGGACCTATTATACTGGCTTTACAGATAATGCTACAGAGTTTCACAGAAAACAATTTTTGTTTTATTTAATATACCTGGACACATACATAATATTGCGTTTCAGACTCTTTCGTCCCTCTTCAGCAGGTATTTTTGTAGTACATTCTACATAAATTAAAACAATAAAATAATTTTAAAATTACATTTTCCATTACCCAACAAACTTATTTATTTATTTACATTAATAAAATTCATACAAACGTTTTTCTTTCTTTTTTAACTCCACCGGACATTCAATTTTAGCCAATAACAATAATAGTACTGTAAACTTAAGCCTGTATTAAATCAAATTATTATATTAATGTTTTACATTATATTACATAAAAAAATATATACAGGTATACCTTGCCTTATGTCGGTAATTGGTTCCAGGGGAGGCGATGTAAGTTGCATTTACTTGTCTCCGAATCTACTTGTCACTAGGCTAAACCATAAATTACCATTTCCTGGTTATGTATTTTATTTATTAATACATTTTTAATAATATATGGTTAATAAGGATCTATTTTAAGCTTACAAACAAATAAATTTTAGTTTTTAATATAGTATAGAAAAAAGTAATCTAAATTTACGAATGCATGTACTGTAAATACAGTACATACTTATAAATGTACAGTATATATTTTAATTAATATGATTTTATGTGCTTTAAACACTTTTCTAGTGATATTATGACTTCAATATTTGTGGCGGACAAACATAAACTTGATTTTTATTTTTCCATATACTTTTTTTTACAAACGACATAACTCAAAATGACGTAAGTCGAGGTATACCTGTACAAGAAAAATAAAAATAAAACTAAAAATAAGAATAAATGAACACATCGAGCAACCAAGAGAAATTATGCAAATTCAGTAGTAGCGGAGCACTGTAATACCACAGACTGTGAAATAATATTAAATTCAGTAAAAATAACAAAAAAAGAAAAGAATAATTACAAAAGACAACTTTACGAACATATTAATATAATTAGACAAAATAACAGAATAAATAGTAATACTGGTAGAGAAATGCACCAATCATGGCGAAGAATCATAGAGGAAGGGACGTGTCTGAGGGATAAAAAGAACAATCAAAAGAAATGGAGACAAGGAGTAAGTCTAATTGAACAGGAAGAATGTAAGTTGTAAAAATAGTAAATAAATGTAAAAAAAACAGATATAATGTAAAACATTAATATAATAATTTGTTTTAATACAGGCTTAAGTTTACAGTACTATTATTGTTATTGGCTAAAATTGAATGTCTGGTGGAGTTAAAAAAGAAAGAAAAACGTTTGTATGAATTTTATTAATGTAAATAAATAAATAAGTTTGTTGGGTAATGGAAAATGTAATTTTAAAATTATTTTATTGTTTTAATTTATGTAGAATGTACTACAAAAATACCTGCTGAAGAGGGACGAAAGAGTCTGAAATGCAATATTATGTGTGTGTCCAGGTATATTAAATAAAACAAAAATTGTTTTCTGTGAAACTCTGTAGCATTATCTGTAAAGCCAGTATAATAAGTCCTGATATTAGAAAATACGTACTTGTAGATGAAAATTTATATTTTAAAAGAAAATTCTTTTCTACACACATCAAAATTACTAATAACAAGATTTATTGTTATGTTTAATTAATATAAAAAATGAAATTTCAAAATATTAGTTTATAAAAATAATAGTTAAATATTTCAGACTAACCTCACTATCTGGTGAAGGTTGAATTATGGACCATGTTTGGCTATCTAAATCAAAACTATAAAATGTAAAATAATATTGTGAGTAAATTATATATTACATTATGAGATATTTAATTATAAAATTTAAAAAAATTAGTAATATAGATAATAGATATAGAAAAATCTTAAATATATAACTTACCAATGTAAGTCATTAGGTAACGTACTATCGGCTGCACCACCAAAAACATACAAATGACGATCAAATGCTACCATTGTATGACCATATCTTCTTGTAGGAGGTGGAGGGGCACCTCTTAATATGTGTTCTGTTGAAATCCTACACCAACTGTTTAAATGAAATTAAATGTAAAACATTTTATTATTTATTTTAATCTTGATTTGCTGTGAATAATATAAATCTCAGTTAGTACATAAATTAATCACAAAAAGTGTTTATAATTCAAATGGTAAATGCAATATAAGGTTATGTGGTTTGTATTTTTACAGCATGATTGCTTGACATATAGCACAGCAAAAAATGAAAAATGTGCATTTTAACAGAGATTTTAGAATACAGTGGGTGATCGATTAACGAACATAATCCGTTCCAAGACTATGTTCGCTATCCGAATTGTTCGTTAACCGATTATCGATTTACCATAGGTTTCTATGAGAATTTAATTAATTCGTTCTGAAGACCCCCAAAAATAAAAAATATATACTTTCTTACTACGTTTATTTATATGTAATAATAAAAATACATACACACACAGTCTTGCATTTTTATTAGTCATATTTTTTTTCCGTTTGAAAAGGTTAAAGAATCTGTCTAATGTCGATTGATTTTCTCTCTTCTTCAGGATTTTTCGTAAGTAATTAATAGGATTGCAATTGTAGAAATCCCCAAGCCTCAACCTGGTTTGGATGCCATTCTAAGACCGTTGTTCTGACATCCTCCCACTTCTTCAAAGGATCTTTAATAACAGATATCGGCATTAATCCTCTTTTTCAGAAGAAAACATATCTCGCCGAGTTTCTTGGTGTTCTTCATTCAAGAGTTCTTGGCGTTCTTCTGTCGTCAGATCCGTTTCAGGTTCCATTATGAACTCTTCGATGTTCTTTATTTCTCAGATGTGATTTTTGTTACTCCTTTAGCTGCTTGAGTCTTCTTGATTATACAGTATTTTTCTTAAATAAGATTGAACTGCGGCCTACTGTAGACCTGTTCACGCCATACTGCCCAGCAACATTAGGCATCTTCTGCCCACTCTCTACCTTTGCTATTATACTCTCACCTTTCGAAAAGAAAAACAGACGCAAAACTTAACGAGTGCCTACCCGACAGTCTCGCGAATACATAAAAGAATTGTTTTGTCAGAAAAATAAAAGGCTGGAATTACAAGGGAGAGTTTCAAAGTTCGGAGGAATACTATCCGATCGGTATATACCGGCTTGAGCGTCGATGTCGACGTCTCCCACACTCCGAAAAGTTTCGAATTGTTTCCTGAAGACATAGGAAGACCAATCGGTATTCACTATTTTACATCGCTTCTTCTTGTGTTTGTTCCGTGAGGTGTTCGTTATCCGATCATGTGTTCGTTGTCCGAACATAAAAATCTTTTGCGAAAGTGTTCGTTATCCGATCTGTTCGTTAACCGATCACCCACTGTACTGCATAATACTCATAATTCTTATTCTTTCATTTCTTTGATATAACTGTGAGAATTTAAGCCCTTTTGTGAATTTTAAAGCTTCAATTTTTTCAATCATTATTTCCCTTCTTCCTCTGTTTCCCCCCCTTTGTGGGAGGTTGAAAGGAGACCTTTCAACCCTTCAATTTTCTGCATCATTTCAAGAAGTGACCCTTTTCACTTTCAAATATGTCACAGATGACAGGAAAGGTTCTCCCCTCATGACTGGGGATTGTTCATTTCCACCTTTGTTACGATCTACAAATAACTAGCCAATTACCAAAAACCTGAACTTGTTACTTGGTAGAGGGTAACAAAATGGTCACTGACAAGGGGAGTCCGAACCGAACAAACCCACACACTTTCTATTTTGTCCGATTTTAATGTTGATAAAACCAATCAGATGACCCACCAAATGAACGATTATTACTAAGGTTGCATTATATACCCTGACCTTAACCACATCCAGCAATTAATTCAGGTTGTTTGACAGCTGTTATCAATTTTATGGAATCATACCAGATAGAAAGAGGTAATAAATTTGTCGAAACGTTTGATTTCTGACAATTAACATAAACAACACCCAGACGCAAATTGAACTTAGACAGGATTGCATCAGAACTTTCCCTGGTAGTTTTCCTCCCAGAACGGGTATAAAAAGGGGTCACACCTGCGCCTCAGGGTGATCACCGTAGGGAAGCCTCCAGGCCGGTAATGATTTGGACCCCTGCTCCACTCTCCTTAAGGAAGACTGCTCAGAACTTAATCCGCCACAGCATAAGAGGTAATTACTTTGAGAAAATAAACTCTCTCTCTCGGTTATAAGCTAGATTAAGGTTAATTTAACTTAAAGAATTTTGGGACCAATAAAGATCCAGAACTTAGATGGTCTATTGGTAAGAGTGAAGTAATCATTGTTGCAACCTAGAGATTTTTTTTAACTATTTCCATCTATTGTATGTATTTGCTTTTGTACTTGCTTTGTATAATTTTTGTTGTTTATTAAATATGTGTCATCCTTGAGTATAGCCGACACCTTATCACAACCTCGCTAACCCTCCCACTCGTTTACAACATAGGCCATCCCCTGACAAAGAAACCGATAAGAAGGGACGAGCTCACCGCTCTACACCCCCATGGTTCACATAACCATTAACTAATTCATTAGCATGTTTTCGTAGAATTCCGATATTTAAAAGTTATTGATATACTTAACATTATTTTGATATTAACCCATTATCATATGCACTTATTTTTTAACAAATGTACATGCATAAGGCAGCAATTCCCCACTGATTTTTCAGATATTTACACTGCAAATAATTGCTGTTTCTCAAATTTGATAATTTTGAAAAATCCTGTAATATGTCTTCTCTACACATGAAAAATTTCAATGCCATATGTGTTTACTTTATTGAGATATTGTTCTGCATTTGAGGACATTGCAAGGGACATTGTTCATGACAATGAGCAAATGATTTTTCTGTAATTTTTGGGCATGAAATAAAGCTGCAAAATACAGTAGAGTGTCGATTTTCCGAAAGTCAATCATCCGAAAGCATTCCAGTCGGCAAATTTAAATTTTCGCCAGTGCTGTGGCGCTTCAATCTTTGTCTATGTCTTGGGCTACTCAAATATTTTACGTTTTTGATACTAAATTAACATCTGAAGTATAATTTTTTATTGTTTTTATATTTTTCAATAAATTTATTTTGTTTGTACAAAATAAAAAAATAATTTTTTATGATACAATAGTCTTTGTTAGGCTTAACATCAACGAAAATTCAATGCAAAGAGACACGCAACGGAGAAAAATTTCAACGTCGGATACGTTAAACTATTTTTTCGTACATAAATCGGTTATCTGAAATATCAGTTATACGAACAACCCCAGTCCCCAATTGATTCGGAAAATCGACGCTCTACTGTATTTAAATTGTTGAAGATCATAGTTGCCCAGAATATCTTACATGGCAATCTTCAAATCACTATTACCTTGAACACTTTTGTTCAAGGTAATAGTGATTTGAAGATTGCCATGTTGTTATATCATGCATAGCTGACAAATATCCATGATATCATGCCTAATTCTTGAAGCACTCATGACAGACTTCCACAATGTCATTTTTGATAACATCAGGTCTCTACAAATGACATCTAAGCATAAAATCACTGCCTTAGGCATGTGATTGCATGACAATAAAGAAAAATTGTATGAAATTGCAAGTATAAAGCAGCAATTTTTTGAGATTATGTGAGAAGCAGTAAAATTTTTTCTGACAAGAATTTTTAAGATGGATAACATGTACATGAGAATATCATGAAAGCACAGCTAATTTCAAGCAAAGTTAATTTGGTAAAACATGCCCACAAAAAACTAGTAGGTGTGCTACTACATTTGATCACAGGTTAAAATTGTATATTGCTGTTAAAACTGCAATTGCTACATAAATTGACTAGTAAACAAACAAATGAATTTAATTACATATTTTTAATTAATTAGATTTTTTTAGACAAATAGTTTTATTGTAAACAAACTCATTATTAGAAAGAACTTTATATAAATAATCAATAAAAGTATCTGGATATCAATAACTAATGGTGATTTCAGAACAAGCACTAACCTTTTACTTAATTAAAGTTCAAAAATTTTTCATTGTATGACTTTCAACAGGAGAGATTTCTAAATTTAAATTTATATAAAAAGTATTTTCAATATTTTTACACATTAGTTATTCATAGTCCAATTTATCAACTGTAAAGAATAAAATTATACATAAATGCATTTCTTAAATAAAACAGCTGTAATTTGAATAAACAGCTAGCAATCAATATTACATTATTATTTAGATAGAATGCAATATTGCTTTCTTTTTATTTTATTTTAGAAAATTTTATGTTATAGAAATTATAAGATATTTTTACTGTCTTTTTAATTAACACAAGAAATATACTACAATGGTTTGCTTTTGTCTTTTATATAAACAATTTCACTAATTTCATATTTTTTTTGAGAATTATAACTTAAAGATTAAGCAATATATCTTTTATATTTAGTTATCAATATGAAGGATATTAATCAATATAAAAGTTAATGAGAACAACAGAAAAATAAATTTCAATTTCTTAGTAAATTTTAAAAAGTATACTTTTTTATGTGTAATTTATTGATGTATAGACTTTTTATCTGTATTATGCTAGTCATGATTAATCATTATTTCATATAACTTATAAAGAGATTGATTTATCTATAATAATGGTCTGCTTACAATTATTACTAATAAAATTACTTTAGACTCTTGATTATCCAGAATGGATAGGAAAAATATCATTCCAGTTAACCTGGTACTGTTTAAATCATGTATGCAGTAAAATGAACTGGTTTTTAAAAGAAACACAAAGAGAAACAGATACAACTACTTCGCATAGTTACTCATAATAAACTGAACACACTACAGAAGTACATAACCCTTTCCCTCTTCCTGGTCAACAGCCTGCAAAGCAGATAAGTCAAAGTGATTTAGTGACAACAGTTAATGTGATCCTAGATAATCAGAAGTCTATAGTATAAAAAAGTCAATATCTAAGTAAATTATATATATATTTATAATTTTTTATTTTTATGGCTTAGCATAGTTTGTATATAACTGAAGTCATTTATCTAACTTTATAATATACAGTATTTATAAAAATGAAAATGAATAATAAATAATTCGTATTTATTTATTTATTAAAGATATTTACGTTTTATCTTTAAAGTTGAACTGAAAAAGACTGTTTGTTATTTTAGCACCACTCTGGCCAGAGAAAACAAACATACTATCTCTTGCAACTGCAACTGGAAAATTGCAGCATGTTGGAGGACAATCACCTTTTTGAGGAATCTAAAACAAAAAATAATAAAATATAACTATAATTTTTTTTTGTATTTATTTAAAAATTAAAAATTTTAAAAATTTTGCATACATATATTATATATTCACATTAATTTGATTTTATTATAAACTACTGATTTGTTGAAATATTCTAATGAATGAAACTGAATATAAATGATTACCTAAAAAAAAATCTTTGTTTTCCACCTTATACACTGTTGTGAAGAGAAAAATAATCAGAATATTGCTTCCTCATGCTGCTAATGTGGAATTTAAATTTCCTTATCAATTTTTTAAAACATTTTATATTTTTCCAGGTTATATACCAAAATTTCTGAATATTTCAAAGATATCAAAAAGGTCAAATCAGCATTTTCTAATTAAATGATATAATAATTGTTTAGACTAGAAACATGTGACAGCTTTGCAATAAATTTGGAAAAGATTTGAAAGAGTTCATTGATACTGAAGGAGTTGAAACAGGTCTGAGAAAGGTATCTAAAATATCAGACTTTGTAGTTCCTGCAATTAAAGTTGAAAAGTCAAGAAACTGTTATAAGTGATACATGGATGAAGCTGCAAACAATAAAGCAAGCAAGTAGTTTAAGAGAACTTTACTTGTAGAAAGCTGGATGGTTATGTAAATGGTAGGCATCAAACATGTAATATCTGGCTAGAGGTAGAATTTAGATCCTCTACATGCAGATTCTGTACAATTTATGGATAGGTTGAACTGTTTTGCATACCAGGAAGTTCTAGATATTGAAGTTACTTGTAAGTTATTGCTTACTATTAATCTAGCTTGTCAAAAGATCAGGGAGTGTTTTTTTAGCTGTGTCATAATTTCATCAAAATGTCACCTTAAAGGTGTTTTAAATTTTAAAAAGTTTAAATTAGACTCATTACTAGTAAAACTCTCATCAATTAATGTAATCTAATTTTTTGTGATTTTTATGTTTATATAAAATGATAAATAGTTGTTAATATTGCCATAATTTATTCTGTAGTTTAATGAAATTGTATAATAAGGACTGAATAGAGATAAATAGCCTAAAATTCATTTCCTTTTTATAAAATAAATTCTACATTACCCATCAAAAGTGTTCATGTAAGATAAGTTCTTCATAGCAATTATACTTACTTCCAAAGAACTAAATAAGGAGAACAAGAAGCAATTGAGTACTAAAGTATGTATGTCTGACGAAAAATTACTTATCCAATTTAATTACTATATGTTTCATTTGGGTATACTGTTAGTATCAATGTTAAAATGAATATTAATTATATCGTTAGTACAATTATTATTCTTATTAATATTAATAGCATTTTTATGTTTTCACAATATTTATGCAAAGTTATATGTGTTCACAAAATTTTAATAAATTTACAATATATGTTTTAAAAATAAGGTATAAAAATTCATAATTTTTAATAATTACACACACCTCTTCCCAAATTCTATTATCCCCAAGTAATGATGTAGTCCACATGTCATTCAATCGAGCATTTCCATCATATCCAGCAAATATCCATAATTTACCATTATAGACTGCTGCTCCATGTGCAGATCTAGGTACAGGTTTTCTAAAAATATATATATATCATAAATTAGTAATATAAAAAATTTCAGTATAAGATAAAAATATTATTGGCTTTCAAGTAAGTTAAATATTCTAAAAATTATTTATTTGTTGATTGCTAAAAATTATAAGTAAAAAAGAGTAAACTTAAATTTTTACATCAATCCAAAATATCAGGTTATTTCAACTTGGATTTAAAAAAAGTACCAGCTAATAATCCATTAAATTTTAAAAATGTATTAAAGATGATTGTTGTTTCTTTGATTATACACAGGATCTCTTTTAAATGATGTTAAAACTTAATCCTTTTCTTCATAAATTTAAGAATTTTGCTGTCAACATTCCATTTCACAAGTTCAACAATAATGTGTTTAAAAATTTCCTTGAGAAATATACAAATGAAAAAGTATCAGATAAAATCACCAATGCAATCAAACCAAACAGGAAAATATTTGTGGTTATCCTGTTGACAAAACCACAGATGCACTTGGAACATTCTTAATATAATAGTTAGCATGCATATGACAGTGCCTTTGAAAGTGCAGAAACAGCAACTGAAAGCACATATTTGCTACATACTATGTTCTTAGAAGCAACTAACCATTCAAACATTGCAAAATGCATAAATAATAATACTTAACAAATTTTGTGACCGAATGGAATGCGTTACAATAGTTCCTTTTTGTGTTTAATGCTGCTAGCTAAATGCTCAAAGCAGCCAATGTGCCAAAAGTGTTTTATACCAAAATGATCCGTTTAACTTTCTTAACACATGCAAGACAACAAAAAACACAGCTTTAAAAATCCAACAATGAAATTTAGTAAATAATAACATTTTCAATCAGTTTAACTGATCTTCAGTTACAGTTAAGATCAGTTAAATTGATCAAAAACGTTATTATTTAGTAATTTCATTGCTGGATTTTTAAAGATGTGTTTTTTGTTGTCATATATATATCCAGTTGATACAAAATATATAGATTAACAGATGAATTTAGTAAAATTTGTGAAACTGTTCACATAATGTTTCCTGGTGCCAATAAATTGATTCCAGCTATAAAAAAAACGTTTGTAAAGACTCCAAAACAATGAATTTTAAAAGAAATTTTAAAAGATGCTTCCAAATGTGCTCATTTTACCAGAGCCTTTATCAACATGTTGGGGTACATCGCTATCTGTTGTCATCTACTATGCTGATAATACTCACAATATACATCAAGTTGTAAAAACTTACTGCTGTTTGCATTTCAGGAGTTCTGAAGAAATCAAACAAGAACTTGCTTATATTAAAGCCAATTTATGTTTTCTTAAAGACACAATTACCAAGTTGGAAGACTTCATCTCAATGAATCAATCAATGTAGTCAAGTTGATAATTAATAAAATCAACATTCTACCAGGATATGTAGGAGCCACTTTGAAGAAAAAATTAAAATGTGATTCAAAAGAAATCCCAAATGGAAAACTATTTGTGGCATAAATTATGTGATTTTGGGTGAAGCAATATCCAGTGAAACTTTTGAAAGTCCAAAGAAAATAGCATCTCTTCTGTATGCCCTAACTACATCTTGTGATGTAGATACATCATTTTCAAAGTAGAAAGGTATTGTTAGACCAAATTGATTGTCTTTAATGAAGAAAATTTGTCGAAATATTTCTTATAAAAATGACCAAAACATAAGCAGAGAATAAAGTAAAATTCTTAAAAAAATTCATCTTGATAATCTCCAGCAAAAACTTTATCATGTTTTTTAAATTATACATTTGTTATTATAAACTACATTACACTCCAATGTTTTTAATCTTATAATCATGCATTCAAACATTCTATATTCTTTCTTTTTTAATTTTGAATATATTCTGCAAGATTTGTTCTATTTGTTCTTTACTACAACAGAAGCTGATCCATGAATAGGATTAAAAATGATTTTATTAAATAAATTTTTTTGATGGAGATTAACAAGTATAGAATTTTATTAAGAAGTCAAAGTATTTCATTGTATATTGTAATGTTTAGATTTTCTTATAATAAATAATATAAATAACATACATATTGTATAAATAAATTTTTAATAATGATATGTAACTAGTTTTTAAAGAATATTTTTATCATATATATATATATATATGTACATAAAATAGCAGTTTTAACTGTATAAAAATCCAGGCCTTATTTCTATTGTATTTTTGCAAATTGTCTGGCATGTCAGTCTATTTGGAGAGACCATGAAATCAGATATTTCCATATGGTAAAAACTGGCATTCTAGTTTAGGTGAGGTTATACATCCTTCTCCAGAGAGTGCATGAAAAAAACAAATGACTTATGTGGTATGGCATCTCAGGCATCAGTTTTTATTATAAAATTGTGAAACTGTCAGCATTACATCAAAAACTATGATTATATGTTTAATTTCTACCGGTTAGATGCTTGAGTAAGTAGGTTTTATTTATTTATTATACACACCCCGGTGTGCATGAAGAAGTTATATTTAATTTCTACATTTTGTCTTCTTCCTAATGATGCAAAATATTCATGGAATGCCAATTTTTTGTTTACTTTATTGTAATTTGATCCAAAAAAATCACAAATAAACATCAAATTTCAGAAACTGGCTGTAAATTATCTCAACTTACACAAATTAACCTGAACTTTGTGGGAAATTTGAGAGGAAGGTGTTATCTTTCAAGGTAGGGGTAGATACCATGATGTCAGTGTGGCTCAAACTGACTGACTAATATTACTACTACTAATAATGTCAATAAGCTGCTAATTGTTTTTAATGTTCTGTAAGCAAAAACACTTCCTGGTTGTAAATCAGTCAAATTACAATGTTTTTATTTTATTGTCCTGGAAAGAATGTTTCTTTAACATTTATTTAACAACTAGTTTTGTTAGACCTGATTAATTTTATTTTTTATTTGCAGTTTAACTGGCATGTCAGTAACCCTGGGGTTTCTAATATGCTGGTCTCCCCTGGTTATATGCAGCATGCTGGTTAATCAATGAAAATACAGTAAAACATTTTGCATAACAAAAGGAATTAAAATTGCTTTGAAAAAAAAATAATTCAAATTTTTTCTTACTTTCCTTCAAATTTCCATTCAATCCACTGTCCAGAGGTAAACTTGTATTCAAATAAGTCATTTTTATTTGTAAGATTTGAATTTGAATGAATATCACCAGTGTAACCACCTAAACATAAAAAATAATTATAATTTTTTAATAAATAAAATGTCTCAATAATATCTTAATAAAAAACTCTTAGTATATAAAATTTTTTATTTGTGTTTCTAAAATATATTTAACCCAAATTTGTTTATAAAAAATTATTTTTTTAATTCAAGGTAAAATCAATGCTTAGATTTTATTAATTAATCAACATCCATTTTTATCATTATGAGGGAACCAATTTGATTATTAATAAATTATGTAAAATATCTTATAAATAAAAAATGAAATTTTGTTTGTTTGTAGCACAATTATATGTGCGAGGCCTCTGCAGACATGTTTGTGTTTGGATTCACAGGATCATTGAATTTAAGTGTTCTTTGCACTCAACTTTTCTTCAAGAAATTTGTCTTTCCTTTTATTTATATACTTTATTTTAAACTTGTTCTGTAGTATTTTACAGAAAAATTTGTGAAAGTCCACAAATTTATTTCAAATGACCATAAAAATTTATTTTAGCAAATAAATCTATGAAATCACCACCTACAGACCAATATACCACAGAAAACACAACACATTTAACTTCATGTTCAGTTACTTGCATCTTAGAAATAATAAATTAACAATACAAGTTAATTATTAATAATATATGATCAAAGTAATAATGTGCAACTGGATAAAATTGGCTGTGCTGTTATCATCATCAAATCAGTTACTGTCCCTTAATTCAAATACCAGTAATTTATTTCATTGCTTTTGATGTAAAGCCTAAGGATGAAAAATATTTTGAAAGCATTTAAATAATCTTATTAATTACACTTATAGAAGAAACACCGAAAGTAAAAAGTATCTTCACATCTTCATTCACTTCATATCTTCAGGTTTTTGGTATTTCTTCTACAAGTGTAATAATAAATATTGTCCTAGTATACATTCATATTTGTAATCTTATTAATTCTTTTCTTTGATAATCTTAAATTTTCTTTAATCTTATTTCTTTAAGTAACAGATCTTTTCTCTTGTTTTTAACTGTCAATGTTTTCCATCAGCAAATTTAAAACTATCTTTATTCCATTTTATTGGAAAACCACATAATATAATTAACACATAACATACTTCATCCCCAGTACTTTCAAGACATTCTTAGTTAATCTTCAAGAATAAAATAATGTTTTAAATATTCAATCCTTTAAATTCTTTCAAGTTTAATCTGAATTCAAACCTTTCTAACTTAATGCTCTGATAAGAATCGAGAAGAAAGTTGAAAGAGTTTAAGAATCAAATATTAGAAGCATTAATTTTATCCTTAAAAATAAATAAAGAAGATCTGAAAAATACTACAGCTGAAGATGTGATGTTTTAATTATGATGTAATAAGTGTAATATAACATTGAAAAATTTTATATTACAATAAAGCAGAATAAAGTTTGAATTGTTTTACTGTAGCATAAACTTGGCTAAATCAAAGCTAGCATATCTCAAATTTTGAAAATGAAACTTGAAAAGAGTAAGCAACCTGCAGTCAACTGACTTAGAAGTTTATATGACATACATTCTATAAGTTGTGGATAAAATTATCAGATATTTCACAGTTTTAGTGGCATTTGAGTTTAGACAGTTGTTTAGGTATCTTTTTTAGAGCAGTGGTTCTTAACTGGTGTTCCATGGAACACTGCTGTTCTGGAAACATGTAACAAGTGTTCCACTAAATTATGAAAGTGGTATACTAGCTGAAACCATGATTGGATAAATGTTAGTATAAATTCACAGTTTATAATGCACACAAGAAGTAACTTGCATTTTGCAGTGAACTACTCTTGTTTTCATTGCAAAGACAAGAAACTTAAATATATCTAAGCAATGTTTTTTGCATAAAGAATCTGTAGTTTCAAAAACATTACTGGCAATGTTAAAACCTATACTAGACCAAGTTGTAAATATGTTAAATTTCAAGTCAAGCTCATTTAAGAGGCTTTTTTTTTTTAATTTGAATATCCATGGAAATTCAGTATAAATCTTTGCTTTTGCACTCTGAATTAAGATTGCTATTCAGGGGTAAAGTGCTATGCCCATTTTTGAACTTAAGAATGAATTGTTGGTTTTTTTTCAAAATGAAGGTACAAATGCTTTTATAAAATGTCTTAAAAATGATATTTGGTGTGTTAAAATGGCATATATAGCCAATATTTTTAATTACTTAAATAGCTTAATACAAATTACCAAGAAAAACATGAAAATATTTTGACCATTCACTGACAAATCTCAGAATTTCAGAAAAAAATACAATAGATATATTTCCAGTCAACATGTTATCTGCTCAGCCATCCAGCCATAACTGTTTGATACTATAAATTAGTTTAATAGGCATAAATACATCAAAGATTAAATTAAATTATTATTAAATTTTATTTTATCAATTATAAATAAATGCATATAATTTACATCTTTCTAATTAAGCATTTTCAAAATAAAAATATTAAAAATTTTATTATTATTAATGTATGTTTGATATTTAAAGTAAAAACATCAACAACAAATTGATCAATTTTACACACTTGATGGATTACCTACCAAAGACAAACATACTACTCTCATGAATGACAGCAGAATGATGGTACCTAGGAGCTGGTGGTACTCCTGTTGTAAATGCCCTATAAACAAAACAGCATCAAAATAGCTTTACAATAAAATTATAATTATTACATATATTTATTAAATTATATGTTTGATTGTAATATTCATTATGCTTACATTAATTTACATTAAATTTATAAAAAATTACTTGTCACTGTCCCAAAAATTTATATATCATTAGAATATAAATTTTTGTTTGGAAGATGACATACAACTTGTTTAAATAAACTGTTTCAGCCCTTGTAATAAGATTTTGAAAATTTTTTAAATTGTAGAAATATTTTTAAAAAAATCAAATATTTATGATGCTCATATTATTTGCTATACAAGTGTGAGAACTGCATTTACAGAAAAACTTTATTATAAAATCATTATAAATTATTATAACATGTTTGTTGTTTGGAATAAGATAATTTCCATTTCGAGAAATTGTTGATTGACTCACTGATTAAAATGTTTTCTATAGACTTAGTTCCTTGTTTAAAGTGACATCTCATATGCATCACTCAGAAGTAACTAGTGAAACTCGATCATTGGGCCCGAAGTACTAAAGCTCCAGATCGAGTAATGGGAAAAACCCAGGAGACCCCCCCTTATAAACAGGGGAGACAATGACAACAGAGGCTTTCCCGTCAGTGAGTGTGAACTTTTATGTATGTGTGCGGCTCTCCACCATTGCCGCTTCCTAGATTAACCTTTGGATTAGCACCTGAACTTAACCAAACTTGAACTAGCATCTGAACTCAATTAAATCCTAAACCTCTTTGGACGAGTCTAAGGATGAACCATCAAGGACCTACTTGAACTCCAGGTATTTGTCATTGCACGAAAGTTTTGTAAGCTCTCTCTCTCTCTCCTGATATGATAAGCTTCCCCCTTGATGGTTACTTCAGTTACTGAGAAAGCTAGCTCCTCAGTCTTAAATCCTGTAAATAACCTCTCTGAATAAACGGATATTTGTTAAACGAATAGCCTCTTGGAATGCACTTCTTCTGGGTATCTCCCTCTGTCTCCATTCCAACCCTAAGTTTCCACAGACGCGCCTGCTCGCGTGTACCTGTGAATGTAATGATCTCTGTGTCTATCCAGAAGACACAGTGGTATCAGTCCTGACAAATTTGTCATTGTGGACTTCACCGACACAATGTCGACCCTTCGGTCCTGTGGTGCCAAAACACAGGAGGCCCTTCGGCATTGTCATGTAAGTATTGTAATCATTACATGTTATATTATATATTTAAAACTTGTAGCACGTAATTATTGAACCATAAAACCATGTTAAATATATGAAAAATAAGTTAGCTTTAAAAATATACAGAAAATATTTAAGTATTTGATCTGATCTTCTATCATGTTAGCAAAATCTTACTTTTGCTAACATTTTATTCGCATAAACTTGGATGGTGCAAGCAATTATGTGATTTGTGCATCACTTAGCAAATAATTGTATTATTATTTTCAGGTAATTTTTTTATTTGCATTTTATTTATACTTTTGTCTATCTGTTACACCAGGTACTTTTTGTCTTTATACTTTTGTCTATCTGCCATTTTTTTTGTAAAGCTCGCCCCATCTGAGATACTTATGAAGTGAGACCTACTAAATATTAAATTATAAGTTTGGTAGTAAATTATAGTACTTTCTTATCAAGACCCAAGTTTTATTCAAAATAAAAAATTCTATGTTAAATCTATCATAGTATTTTGTAAAACTATCACACAATATAATCTTTTAATTAGCATCACAGTCCTAAATACTGTTCAGTTTTGTATGTAGAGATAAACATACAGATGGCCTTAATGACAAATTTCAAAATATATCTTCAGAATATAAGATAGACACCCACAATTGCCGTAAATAATCGTGCTATATTTTGGAAATAATAATTATGAATTACAAATAAATTTGGCACCGGAGAGAGTCGTTAGGTGCCATCTTGTATTAAAATTATTAATTATAATATTTAATTAATCAATTTAGAATAAACTGGAAGAAAAGAGTGCCAAATTTATTTGTAATTCATAATTATTATTTCCAAAATATAGCCTGATTATTTATGGCAATTGTGGTTGTCTATCAGAATATAAGATATATCAAGAACAAATGTTTATATTTGCCAGCAATCTTAAACGATCAATAAAATATATTTATCTTAACAAACAGAAAGCTGGATTAATTTGCAATCAGATGATATTTTCAATTTTGTAGATCAGTTAGGTTACTCTCACCTTGCTCTAAATCATAAATCTCAACAAGGAGGAAAATTGATGATCTATCCCCATCAATAAATGAAGTAAAAGTTTTCAAATATCTTGATTCCACTCTTGTTGTTAGACTACCCACATACACATTTTAATTATTATAGTCTATGCCTCAAAAAAAAAGAATTAGTGTTTTTAACATTCTACATATATAGATTCTTTTTAACACTTCAAAATTTTAACTCTGTATTCAATATTATGTGATGATTTTAACTTGTCCATTATCTCCTGGATATTCAACGGGTCTTTTTCCTCTATAATTGATCAAGAAAAAGCATTTTTCATAACAAAGTATATTATTTTTTTAACTTTCTTCAGAACATATTTTTCCCCACTTGATTTAATTCATTTTTTAGGCTTGGTACTTATTCATAATTGTAATCTAACTATACATCCTGTTCGTGGGTTCACATCTGATCATGGTACTATTTGTCTTGAAGTTCATATGAAATCTGTTATTGGCTAAACTGGACATTTTATAAAAATTCTGTTATGGACATCATTCAATCATAAACAAGCATCAAATCATCTTTCTTCAATTGACTAGTTTTTCTTAGAATCCTCTTTGCTCACACCAATAATAATTGATAAAATATACAACATATTAATATCCATAATAAATAAGCTTCTACAATACTGCAAAATTGACATATCCTCATGTAAGTAGATTCCATATCACCTTAAAAAATTATGTAATTTTATAAAAAAACAATGGAAAAAGTGGAAATTAACTGGTAATTCTCATATGGCATTATCATAGAGAATGCCATTATGTTCTTTCTTCATTACTTTAATAGAGTAGTGTCTGACTTCTTGTCTGACCCTTGCACTTTCTAGGGTTTTATTCCTAAATTATCTAAAAAAATACCCATAAAACAAACATTAATTCCAGATGATAAAATATATGACATTTACAAAAAACTAAAAACACCAAATATGCAGAATTTAGTCTCTTTATATATTATCAATACAATTTTAATTATTCTCTTTCTTTCACTGATGTCAAAGAGGCTATTACCGAACTAAATAAATCTAATTATAGTCCAGATAATATCAACTCATTATATTATATAAAACTTAAATCTGTTTCCTCTGTAATATTATCAAAATTATTCTCCTGGCTCTTACAATCTGCTTAATTCCAAACCAATGGTTACTGTCAAAAAGTGGTTCCCAAAAAATAAAATAAACTGTACACTAATTACAATCTCATCTGCCATGCTAAAAATCTTTGAGATATGTAGGTTTATACCAAAAAATATATAAAGAAATAATTTTCAAATTATATCCAATCCAACAATATGGAATATGTAATTATTCAACTTGTACTAATTTACTTGAAACAGTATACACAATTTTACAAAATTATGAGAAAAAATGTGCTATCTATATAACTTATCTAGATATATCTCAGGCTTTTGATTCTGTCCTCCCCAACCTATCGTTGAACATACTCTGTGAATATTTTGACTTAAATTCAATTTTTCATAGTTGGTTAAATAATTATTACTTATCAAGATTATGTAAAATAAACCTTGGTGATTTCAAATTTTTTTAATTTTACACCAATTTGTGGGATTCCTCAAGGATGAGTACCGAACGGCTTATTCTTCTCAGCTTATATTAACAACCTTTTTAATAACATATCATTAACAAAATATACAATTATCATCTCCCTCCTACATATATCAAAAACCATAAATTAAATTATGTAAAACCTATTGTGATCTAGGGATAGTTTTTGATGACAAATTAACTTTCCAGGAGCACACTCAAAAGAAAGTAAAATCCTTAATAATCAGACATGGAACGAAATTCCACATCTGATTAATAAGGATTTTACTTTCTTGGTGTTTCTGTAAGTCTATATCATCTGGGTCAGTACTAAGAGCTCTTTATTTTACAAATTTCAAATCTATATACAACTATTGTTTGCCAGTCTGGTCAATAACAACCATCCCTTTTAAATAAAGTCATTAAAGAAATACAAAACATTTATTTTCTTCTAAATAAATTTAGTAATCTACCATATACAAATAATCCTGTTGTAGCAGGAATTCAGCTTGGATTATCTGACCTAATAAAGCATATAGAATATTTTAACTGCTTACTTTGTTTTAAATTTTACAATGGTATTATAAATAATTATTGGCTTAGTCTGACAGTTAAAAGAACAAGAAAAGAACCCATAATGATGCTTGTATACATACTCCATATTATTGTTTATCCATTTCCCACAGATCAATTTTTTATTGTATAGCTGAAAACTTGAAACTAATAGAACTCATATTGCATACAGACTATCTTACTTTCAAAAGTACCTGCAAAAAAATTTTATATAGAAATCAATAACTAATCATGTTTTATTAATACCTATAACTTGCATCTACATTTCCATTATTTTATCTTAATCATAATTTTTTAAATCTATTTTATTTTTCTTGTTTTTAATTCTTCTAAATGTTTGTATAGTATAATTTATTTTTATTTTTTAATGGTAAAAATAATGATAGATATCAGCAAACAAGGTTTTAATTATAACTAGTTATGTATATATTCTTATTTTTTATTTACTTTGTACATATTGTAAATTTTGTTTTATCATAATTATTGTTGAATCATTTGTATAATTGTTAAAATGGAGGTAAAAATCTACTGTCTACTGACATTTCCTAAACAGTACAATAAATAAATAAATAAGTTTGCATTTGCTCTTAAACTTAGCACTACTTTTAAATTAACTTATTAACTAAAGAGTACTTGCTCTTCTTTAAGTAATTTAACTTAAATTAAATATTTAGTATGATCTTTCACTATACTGTTTCATTTTTTTTAAATTATTTTAACTTAAGTTATTATACTATTCTTTAATTAATAATTTAACTTGAAAATGATACTATATTTAATGCAAATAAAATAATATGGCAATGACAAAATCATACTGCCATATCTGATATGGCAATATGATTTTGTCATTGCCATACAGTAGATCCCCCTATAAAACCGTTTCCTATAGTTATGATTCCTATAAAAATTGTGGCAGTATCCATAAACAACGGTAAAAATAACTCCTATAATACGTAAAACGTCATCGGGCAGCCGAACTACTTTCCCGCCGTCCGTAGCGCCACGCTACGGACGTTTAGGCGGATAAATTGAGTTTAGTATCGTCTGTTCATATAATTATATATAAATTAGGTACTGTACATATAATTATATATTAATTATATATAAATTAGGTACTGTATATATAATTATATATTAACTTAATTTATTGTAACTTTATTATAATTAAATATATATTTTTCGCCGTCTAGCGTCACGCTACGGCGAGTTAGGCGACCTATCGTCTGTCCAGTACTGTAATTTTATACATTTCTTGTGAAAGAAACATTTCTTATTTAACGGCCATAAAAATTATTTATATTAAGGATGTCTCCAAAGGTCAACGAAGTTTTCGCAGAAAAATAATATCAGAAATCGCGGCCGCGGTTTGATGCGCTGTTCCGCGACGAAACCAAGCTTTAGCAACGGGCGTAGTCGAACGGTACACACTCGGTAAGCAATCCTACAATTTTTTGTTTATAACGTAGTTTATACGGATTATTTTCAAAAAAATATACGTATTTTGGAAATGTTGAGTCGAATTAGTCTACAATCGATTAATTTTATGAAAGAAAACCTTTCAAACAGCCGTAGTCCGTAAACTATGATTCCTACAAAATTGATTCATAAAGAACGGAACGTATCTACCGTCTTATAGGGGGATCTACTGTATTAGGATTTTTGAATAAACCAATTAATTGTTGTTTATCAAAAATTTCATAATTATTGAAGATCATTTGGTTTAGTTTATCTTGTTTTTAACATTTTGTAGATTTCATATATTTTCAAAAAAATTTTTAAATCTATACCTTTGCTTTAAGAACGTGCATATTTTGAGAAATAACGAAAAACTGACAATTAATTATTTAATTAATTAATTTAATTAATATTAAAGTTAATATAAACGTATTAAATTCTTGACAGTCTAAATCAGTGATTCCCAAACTTTTTCAATCCACCACCCCCCTTTGTTCCATAAAGTTATACTCAATGCCCCCTAACCCATTTTCTCTTGTCTGAGAAAGGATTGGAAATATTCTTAGGAAAACTTTTCTATGAATCTCACACTTTGTGCCCTTACCGTACATTGTTCTCAACATCTGGAAACCATTAACTGCAATGTTTCCTCTTATCAGTTTAACAGAGAAAAGGTAACGGCTTTCAGTGACCCCAATTTTGCCTTTGTTCACCTTCAATACCCTGCCTCCACTGCCCCCCAATATTTATTCATCACCCACAAGGGGATGTTATTGCCCACTTTGAGACACACTGGTCTAAATTAATAATCGAATAAAACCATGAAACCAAAACTGACAAGAAACAAAAAGTTTAGAATATTTTGTTAGGATTCAAAAATTTAATTTAAGAAATATCTTCATATTCATTATTCAAAAATGGTGTTCATTTTGAACATCATAAAATATTAAAAAAGGAAAAATCATAAAGTTACAAATTTATCATAGCAAAAAGTGCCATTTTAAATAAAACATTGAATACACTTGTATATTTTGTAGATTATTATTTTAATTAAAAACAAACTATTCACTATCAAAATCACAAAATGCTACTTAATAGCGATATCAATAAATTCCACTGAATCGAAAAAAGCACCATATCAAGAATAATACTTAACAGCAGTAATGATATAGTTTTAAATATGATTATATTTAGTCATAAATTAATAACATAATAATAAAACTTAAAAAAAAAAAAAAATTAAACTGCTACTTACCTTCCCCATGATTTATCTTTAACATCAAATCTCAAGAGATCATTTAGCATATGTTTACTAAAAAATAATGAATAATGTAATAAAGCTTTAAAAAAATTTTTATTTTTAGATAACTGATATTTTATTAACCTACCCATTATCTCCTCCAAAAACATAAATGGCATCTTTATATGCTACAACAGTGTGCTTACTTCTCCTATAAATTCAGTAAATTAATTTTAATTTATAATCTAATAAAAATCTAATTAATATTAAATAAATTTATACTACTAAAATAAAGATTCTGACAATAAGAAATTAAAAATGCCTAAAGTATTGAATAATAAGATAAAAGATATAAAAAAATCATAATTATTTTGAATGTTTGAAAAATTCATTGTTATATTCATTTTAACATTACAATTATTCATCTCAAAAACTAAAACAGCAAAAAAACTTAAAATTTTTAGTTAATTGATTAATAGTTTGATTTCGTTTTAAAAATAAAATTTTCTGAAGAAATAATTTCTTTTAGATTCTTTTATTTATATCAATTAATAATTGTAAATATTGATTAATAGTTTCTCAAATTTACTTTTTTACGACAAATTTAATTAGTCATTTAACTGATTGTTATTTCCTAGTTTATTTATTAATATTTATTTGAATTAAAATAATAATTTTATATTTTATCTATATATATATAAATAAATGAGGATGATTGTTTTTGTTTGTTTGTTATGTACTCCTAGGCCACTTGACCAATTGCTCTGAAACTCAGCAGTTATATTAATATATTTCTAACTTAGATAATGTTGTACAGTACATACCAACCCAAAGTATTGATTAATTTCTACATATCAATTAATTTCTGCTTACATCCAACTTCATGTTTTCAGGTGTAGCGCTATTTTTATGCATTTCAATGATAAATATAATTCATACAAAAAAGGATATCATTAAAAAAAATATATTACATTCATTTAATTACTGCAATGGGTAGCCTGGGGCACACATGAACATTGAGCTGAAAGTGTTACACTGTAATGAACTAGATAAGTATTTGGTTTTACACATCTAACTCAAATAATTTCTTCCTACATCAGTATAACTGTAATAATCACATGAAATTACCTGCTTCTTCATAACCATTCAATACTCAGTGGTTTTTAACTATTAACTTACAATGTAAGTTTCAAGTTTGTACAAATACACACTTAAAGTATCAAAAAAATAAAAAAATATAATGACAAATATCAGGTTTTATCAGTGGCGTGCCGTGACATTTGATGATAGGGAAGCTGTGTTTCTATAAGAAGCCGACTTCCAGGGGCAATCAGTCAGCAATGGTCTAGGGTCCATTCGTATTCGTTTGTTCGATAAGCCAGTAAAAACCATAGACTTCTCTAAATGTATTTTTAATTAATAGATTATCTAACGCACTTAATAAATAAGCAAGTTCAATATAATTAACTCTCTTATATTAGATTTAATAGATTCTATACGCCCTCTAAATGCCAATTCTCGCTTCGATAACATCTACTAATTAAAATATATCTATTAGCCGTAACTATCTTGTTATAATTTTCAATATTTATTTTATATTGTGTACTAATGTTAAATTCTATTCTATTTTGATTTCCAAATTGCTTCAATTTTACGAAAGAATCGATGCGAGATTTAGGATTTTCGTGTCTTTTGCCAGCTTTACTCAAATTATTTAAATCGTCAAAGCCAATCTCATTCTACACACTAATTTTATTTGAAAATAGTAGGCAAGGCCAACAAAACAAATTTTGCATTTTTATGCATCCACAAAGCCATTTTATATCTTCATAAATTTTATCATGAAAATGTCGAACAAATTTTTTCTTTTTCATTATATGGTCTCGAGCCAAAACTTTTTGAAATAAATTTTCGATATCACAATTACATTCTAAATTGCTAGCTATAATATAAGGGCTAAAATTAAAAATAAAATTATAAAAACTTACTTGTTAAAATAAAATGTGTGATGATATACAATTATACATACCTGGTACAAAATATTCAATTGTATGAATATACTTTTAAAGAAAATTATAAATATAGTTTTGTGAAGAAACGTACATAAAAATAACATAAAATAGTCTTTACTTTTTAAATATTAAAACAATCCACCTAGTTAAAATTGCTCCCTACCAGTGGCTCGTGGATGGAATCAGAGACGGTCTTGGTAGGTGTGCGGTGCGGTGCATGCTTGCCAAATCCCGAGGGTGCCGATACCGGTTAATGTCTCTTTTGTCTCATCACTAGTATATCTCAAAGGATGCGACAGGGTTGTTGTAAATTTTAAATGTTTCTCATCATAGCTGTAAAAATCTAAATTTGTTACACTTAAAAGTCATTTATTTTCTAACTACTGTAATTCATTTTAAGACCAGGTGTCCACGGAAATTTTCAAAATTTACAACTTTTACTCACTTTCATTGAACTGGAAAAATTTCTGTCTTTATTACATCTAATATTACGAAGAAATCAGTCCCACTGTACTCGGCTAGATATTGTTCCGATTAGGCTTTTATTTAAGTAAAATGCTGTCTCTTTCATCAAGGTTTTGTTTACGTCCCCAATTCCCTAATCGCTTAATTATTTAACTACTTAAGTAGAAATAAGTCGAAACCAGTTACTTTGTACTCGAATATTTGCAGTCTCGGGAAAAAAGTGGAAAGACAAATTTTAACGATAACGGATACATAAATCATAAATTTAAGGAAAATAAATTCTAGAGCCTTTTCTGTACCTCGTGCAACTCTCCCATTCATTAAATTTAGTTGTAAATGACGCTGTCGAAGTAACAGTTAACTTTTTAACATTATACAAGAATTGTACACGTTTTTTTCTACATCCCCTTAAAGATGGGATGTACAAAATCGTAATATCACTGGTTTAACATCAAAATCCGTGAGTAATATAAAATCGGAGAGCGGAATAAATATATCAAATATTTTAATGGATTTTTTAACTCCTGTCAACTATACGGAATTATCGTAAAAACATACCAGTAAATTCTTATCGGTTGGGTTAAGTTATAAATCTACTCGTTATTCACGTAATCGAAATATCTAGTGGGCAGGCGGCTAACAGCCCAGAACCGGTCCTTGATAGAATTGGAATCTTTATATGTGTGCAGCTTTCACCCAAGGTCGTAGGCTTCCACCGGCTAAACCGGGTGAGGTTGGTGCTCTGTAAAGCGCATGCGCAAATCTGGCTTTTCGTAATCTGAAAATACAGGAGATTCCACTCCGCCACTAATATTCTAATATACAATAGCAATTTTTTTTTCCACGTGTAGTATAGAAATTTGTAATAAGATACATAATGCGGTTATAACAAAATATTGTGCGATTATTTTCATATAATTAAAATTAATATTTATTTATTTTTTAGAGAATACGAGGGAAGCGGCGCTTCCAACGCTTCTAATGACGGCACGCCACTGGGTTTTATGTATAATTATGAAGAACTATCATAAAAGTGACCCTGTTCTTACAACTCAAAGTATGTAAACAAAGAGTAATTAACATTGACAATATAATTTGTGATGCCAAAATATGTCTTTACATATTTGTTATTTATAAAAGTTATGTATTTTATTTTTATTTTGCTAGTTTTACACAGTAAAAAAGACATAGTAAAGAAACTAGTGAAATTAAAATAAACAAAAAGAAAAACATTAAATAGAAGTAATTACCATATATATGTCTTTACATTTCTAAGTTATACTGTGAAAAATATCTTTTTAAGAAGAAAAAAAAAGTCAAGTTGTTACATCTAATAATGCAGTTCTTTTCAAACAGCATTTTCATAAAATTAATAATTTTATATGTTATAAATTTCTCTCTTATAAACCTGGGCAATGCCAGATGTAACAAGTTAGTAGATAAATACATCTATAAAATCATAACTTACCTTGCACCAACAAACTCATCACATTCTGGCATTCGTCTCCATCGATGAACAGTTTCAAAGGGACCAAAATCTAATGTCAAGCATTCAGCACTCTCTGGCCAATTGTGATCGAACTCCATCCCTGGAGGTCTTGCTATTGCCATTTCCTCAATCTATTGAAAAATTATATATTCAGTTAATTAAAATATTTTGAAACTTCAAATTATTAAAATAAGCAAAATAATGAATATCAAACAAATTCCAAATAAAAATTAATAATAATAAAATAAATATTCAGTTTTTTTTTTCATTGGCAAAATTTATTTTTCATATACAGTGGAACCCCGGTTAACGAACGTCCTGGTTAATGACCAAATCGGTTAACGAACTATTATTTTGCAAAAATTTTGTCTCGGATAACGAACTTAACGGCTTTTTGTGTCAAATTTGTAAGCTTGCCGACTTTTAGGGAAAATCAGTTAATCGTGTGTCGGTGATGGTCTAGAGTCCATTCGTATGTTGGTGGTGGCAGAGGAGACAAAGATGATAAGTATTTTACAGTGAAAATCGTTTATTAGAACGGGAAGATGCTTACACATTTGAGGTAGTTGGAAATGGCTTATCTACAGTATTTTCTCTCAGCACTGAGGAGTGGCGCATCGCTGGTCCTACGATAGTGCAAGCTAATCAGTCGTAGTCCCAGAGCAGACAAGATGGGTTCGCTTGGTCACAGAAGCGATGGTAGGTGAGAGCTGCAACAACTGGAGCAGTCCGCGAGACACAACATAAATTTTAGCGGGCACGACTTCAGGCTTAATCCAGATGAAGATGACACAGATTAATCGCCATCGAATTTTTAGGAAAACTGCATTTTGATCTTGAGATTCGGGGTTTTTATGTATTTTTTCCTCGAATCTCACCTTACGATTAGTCCTGCGTCCCATTCCTTGCTTCCCGATTGTTTTCTTCTTTGTCTCTGGGTGAAAACTGAAACCAGATCAGGTCACGAGAAAGGTTTGTTCCCAGGTGTTTATTTGACACCTGTTCGTCGACTCTAATCAGAGATTGTTGATAAACCTATAAGCCTTTCGCTCATAATTTAGCCTATTGTTTCTGTTATCTGTCATTTTAAAACTTTAATGATTGGGTGTGATGTTTTTATACCCATCAAATCTTTCCCCTTTTCCGAAAATTTAACCTAGATCAACTGTTTATGCGCACGTTTTCCTATACTTTCATTAAAGAAAACCCATTTTTCAAATAAAATTACAAAAATACTGACGGCTAGAACGGATTAATTGTATTTGCATTAATTTCTATGGGAAAAATTGCTTCGGTTAACGAACGGACTCGTGGAACGGATTACGTTCGTTAACCAGGGTTCCACTGTATAGCTTTGGGGACCATCCATATATTACATCATCAAAAAATTGGTCATTTCTTACTCTTCTCTTCCCTCAGCATCAAAAATCATCATTGTAAAAGTTCCCCCCCAATATTATATCATTATAATCAGCAAAACTTTCCTTTTATAAATAAAATAGATACAATTAACTTGAAGTATGATCAACTTCACATTACTATATCTTTTTACCATTTACTGTATATATGCAAGACATGAAGTTCTAGTAGTCTCAACCCACTCTCCCATTCAAATCCAGTCATTTCAACTGTTGTCATATATGTCAATGATTAGCAATCTGAAATACTCAATAGATCTTGCAGGCAATAGAAGCTTATCAACTTTTATAAACTAAGTTACACTGTAAGCTAATAATTATTAACTTCTCTTGCATTTTTCTAATCAATCAGTGAATTCCTGGTTTAATTCATTTTTATCTCTTTCTGTCCCATGGACGCTAAAAAGGCCTTTTTTCCCTATCCATCATGGTTTGGCCAGATCATAATGGGGTGGTCAGGTGATGAGGCCTCATCTCTCACCCCCTGGCTAGAAGTGACTCCCCAATAGGAAATTAAATCTTGCTGTTTTATAGCAATATCAAGTGCTAGCCAGTAGAATATGCTGGTTTGCTTTGCTACAACTAAGTGGGCACTATTGATTTTGGAATGTTTGATGCAGATCCTCTTTTTAAGGCAGACTGAATAGCTGGACAATATGCATTATAAAGTTTTTACTCCTATTCACACAGTAAGACTAACTAACAACTTCCTTATGATGCATATTGTCCAGACTCACCTTATTATCAATGTGACAAAAACTCAACATTAAGAACACACAAAAAAGATTCCAATTCTTCCAGTTGTGTTATTTTGGTCCTACAGAAGACCTGATTAGAGTGAGTTTTGCAGAGCTTCTGAACTTTTCTTTTTAGCAACATTTTTAACTTTCTTGAAATGAAACTTCCTTTATAACATGCAACTCTAATCAAAATTAACTTCATGTTAACTGGATTGATAAATACAAGTACACAAAAAAAAATTGATAATCCCAGTAAATAATTTTATGAAAATTTTACAAACGTTTTCAATCTTACACAAGATCTGCTTCAGGTCAAAAACATTCTAAATTGGAATGCACAGAACTAATTTCAAAATTTTTCCCGCACTCCAACTTTTGAAAAATTTTGAAATTAATTCTGTGCATTCCAATTTAGATTATATTGTCATAACACAAGCTCACATATGATCGCTGACATAGTGTTATGATGCCTTGAAAACACCTTTCTCCAAGTTCCAGCATGTATACCAGACACATTGATGATACCTTCATCCTGTGGAGAAGGAAGCCCAACATATGACAATTTTTGGAGAACATCAATGACAACCCTTATGAATTGTTCTTACAATTAGATAAAAAAAGTGAAACAACAGTACACTTTCTGGACATTCTCATTACATGCAGATCTGGGAAAATTTTCACTTGGATCTACAGGAAACCTACCTTTCAACCCATTTCAATCCCATAGACTCCAGACACATCAAACTTTGTGCCTTCAGATCCTTGATAAAAAGGGCATACACTCACTGTATGAATATTCAAGACACTTTGGCGAAGCTGCATTACATCAAAAAAATTGACAGGTAACATAATTATCTGGATAAGATATTAAAACAATTGATCAACACTTTCCTTACACCCAAAACAATAATGACAGCAATAAATTGGAGGCAAAGGGTAGTCTTAAATTATAACTCCACCTTCCTCAATATCCAGAAGAAAGTGGCTAATAATGGCAAAGTGTCTTTTTATATTGATGTAACCCAGCAATTTTAAGATACTATGAAATGATTAAAAAAACCATATAGCCAGGACTCAGTTACAGGGATTTACTCCGTCCCAGTCAACAATCATTGTTTCAATATTAGGCTAATCTACATATGAACCACACTTTGTAATTTAGAATAGAGGGTCACAGAACATAAATACATGGCTAGAAAAAACCTCAGTAACACAACACTGGCAGCTTATTCACAGAATAATAATGTGCACGTTCAATAGAATCAAGCCAAAATCATTATGCCCATTTCTATTTTACACAACATCAGGTTTCTAGAAAAAATTAGAAATATATAAAGCACACAAAAAGAAATACTGAATCAATCATTGGGATGCTGAAAATTTATCAAACACCTGACAAGCAATTTATGAAATGTAATTTATGAGCATTTTATTAAGAATTAAATCTTACAAATTTTAAAATGTTTGATATTTATTAATTTAATTCATTTTACAAGGTTTAATTTTCTGTATTAATTAATTATTACCTTTTAATTATTAATTTTTAAAATTTTCATATTTGTGACTTTATTTTGAATTTGTAATTATACATTCTAAAGAATTTGAAAATTCTTGTAACTGATGATGATCAGTAAAATCTGATTGAAAACATTTTTATTTCAATAAATTTGTGCTGGATTTATTAAGGTTTCAATTGGTAAATACTTAGTTTAGTAACCCTAATTTTTTACTTTTGGACACACTTTTAGGAATATATTATGACTGAAAGTCAGGAACTGTCTGTATTTGACAAAATTGGTAAAAGATAAATAGTAACTCTTATATAAATCACCTATAGAAGTTAAAAAATATTCAACTAGAAAAGGATAAAATTCACTTATAAATATTTAAAAAACACTCAGTACTAAAGTTTATAATTCATGAAATGCAGGAACAGCAGTTTCATATGTAAAGGGGAGAAAATCAAATCATTATCAAAAACACTACAGTAAATTAAAACTAAATCTTATCATCTTTTTTTCAAAATTTATATGATATGTTTTCCTATTTTACATATTAATTACAAATTTTTTAATTTAAGACTGTCAGTTATAAAGAATCTTATAGTTTATATAGTAGCTAGGATTGCCAGACATACTTTATTTTAGCCAAATTGTCGTTCTCTTTTTTTTCAAACAAGAAAGGACACATTTTATCCTTTATTTTCATAACAACAGACATTGAACAAATTTTTGGTGCAAATAATACAAAAAATGAACACTGCACAAACATTTTCCAACTCCTTCTTCAGGTGCAACAGAACAATTATACAATGGAATATTGTCGGAACAATCTATTTGTAAAAATTTTTTATAACATAATTCAAACATTTTGAAACTGTAAATATAAATTTAATGCTACATAGGCATCGTTGCACCTGAAGATAAACTCAAGGAGTTGGAAAACATTTGAGCAGTGTTTGTTTTTTGTATTATACAGTATTGGTTCAGTGTCTGTTGTTACATATATCCAGGTATAGAGTGGTGTATATTTTATTTTCATTTTTTCAATGTTTGTACTTTGTAATGGCAGTGGTAGATCCTTATACAGTCGACCCCCGTATAAGATCATTGATTATTCCGTTTTATATGAATTCCATGTTGTATGAGTCACTTAGATTTTACAAATACGTGTACCGGGCTGTGAACGGCTCACGTATTTGTAAAATTTAAGTGACTTGTACAACATGGAATTCATATAAAACGGAATAATCAATGATCTTATACGGGGGTCGACTGTATACCAATCCATATCCTTTCCTCATATACTTCCTTTTCAATCCATATTCTCTTTTCCAATCCATATAGTGTCAACCTGTGTTAATATGAATCAGTAGGGGAATAGTAGTTAGCTAGCTTTATTGAAAATTCATATTAATGATTTTCAGGATCAAGGTCAAGGTTCTATAATTTACAGAGTTAAGGATTAATAGGC